TTCCGATGAGAAGGTGGTGTTTCTTAAACTTGCAATGAAATATTCTGGGCAACATCTGTGGGCTATTGGTAGGTTTGCCTACTGGCTAAGCTATTCAGTTCCATTTGTTTCAGTAAAATGCAGTGACTGAACCTGTAAGGTTAATGGTTGAATCACGTCTGCAGGTGTGGTGATTGTTGTTCAAACGTGTCAACCCATTCATATCAGAGTCTATTTTTTTAGAAAGTTTTTTTTTATACTGCATTTTGTTAAACAAATTGGTAAAAACCAATGCATGCTCCTTCCTTCATGGCTGAACCCTTGGATTCAAGGAATTATTTAAAGACTACAGAAAGGGTTGCTAATAGAAATGCAGGTCCCTAATTCTAAGGAATGTTTTTATTACCATCTTGTTGCATACCCAGTTGTCTGGCTCTTTTAGAAGTCAGAAAACACAAGTGTTATATATGGCAGGAGTAATTATAAAGTATTAACTCTTCAGATTCCTTTAACGTTTTCCTTCTATGTCTTATTCTCATTTTTTAATAACTTCTGCATTATTATTCTGCTCATTTTTTTTTCTGCCAGCGTTGTATCTTTTCAGAAGGGCAGTCACAGGGGAAGAGGGGAAAGAATATTTGCTGTAGTAGATTTTGTTGTGGTTGTAGATTATGACTGATTGTGGTCATACTGTGTCAGCTGTTGTGTGAGTACAAAGAATAGGCAGTTAGTCTACCTTGATAGCTGTAGGAGACTTATAGGCTAAACAAAAGGCAGTTGCAGATAGAGAAGACAGTCAGTAGGTCTAACTAGAATATTAACACAGTCATGGCAGCTGTAGTATTACTGAGATACTTCCTTAGCATGATTTTTGTGGATGAGGCTACTTAGTGGTTTAAACAAGAGCCTTGAGCTGCTGCCCATCAGCTCAGCCTCAGCTGCTGTTGGCATGTGGATTGTAAGGCCAGCTGTGATTTATCACAGTTCAGCTGGTGGGTGGTATCTTGCTAAGTTGTGATAAGACCAATCTCTTCACATTTTTGGGTAAGGTGAGGTCATATGAAGAAGAGAGAAAAGCAAGGGTTGACTGGGAAAGGGAGGACAAGCTGTAGCTGCATAAAAACAAACTTCTAGAGAAATTACAGGTTTTAGGAAGAAATCTGGATGGTTTAGGCTGATGTTTATGGTACAATGAAGATAATCAGTAACCATTTATAACAAATCCTCCAATAGATCACCTCCAACTTCTTATGTGTTGTCATCAGTGTAATATAACAGTGATGCTTGTAGTGTATTGTGTCAATTTTGAGTCACTGAAAAATCCAGCCACTATAATCACTCTGTGTTTATTTATCCTCCATATGACCTTAAGTTCTGTTAAATTAACTGATGTTAAGGCTTGTCGCAGGGAAGGTTGGGCAAAATTACCTTTAAAGGTCCCTTCCAACCTGAACTATGCTATGATTCCATGTGCTGAAGCCTGCTTTCTGTTCTCCATTCCTGAAGAACTTAGTTGTCCATTTCCCTCCCCATCCTTACTACTTGCTCTCAGTAGGTCAAAATCTCTTCCCACAGACATCATATAATGGATTCTTTGATGACTGTTGCTACCTCATTAGTATTGTAATGGACAATGAAATTACTGCTTTACTGATAATAAAAAGGCATAGTATGGCTAAGTACAGAAAGTTCAGTATCACCAGTGGCACAACTCTGAGCACTGTTAAAACTCTTGTCCACGTCCTCCCCCTCCCTGTGATTTTTACTAGTCAAACTGATTATCAGAATAGGTTTTTTTTAAGAGCATTTTTTTCCTCAATTTTTAGGCCTGCTCTCTCTGTGAATCTTAGGGTTTTTTTCAGGCATGAAATAAAACTAAACACTAAAGGGAGGAATGAGGTTAAAATTTACAAATCCCAGTGATATTCTCTACTAAAAAATACTGTAGTATATCTACGCAAGATATTGTTCATTTTCATTTCAAATATAAGCTGGGTTGGGTATCCCATGCTCAGTTGTAGCTGCAAACATTGTTTTGTGTCTTTCTTTTTTTGCTGTCTGGGAAGATGTTTGATAAAATGAAAGCAGGAGTTTATCTTCCTTTAAAGTTTAATGTACCATAAGCTTAGCATTATGAAGAAGCTGTCACAGCATTCATATACCTGTGTTCAGGCTGTATTATCAACCCCTTGTCTAAACAAACCTGGGTTTTTTTAGAAAGATGGAGGTTGGATGGGAGGTGTTTATTTATGTTTGTAAGATACATGTCTAATTGCATGCTTTCAAACACAGAAAAACATATACTAGTGGTGTTCTTGTTTGTTTCTGAAAAGCTAAATCATTCAGAAAGACACTATTTTTACATTCAAGTAATATTTATGATCACTTGCTTTACAGAAATATAGAGATTGAGAGAGTCAAGTTAACACTGACTGAAAGGATTTTCAGACTCTGATCAAAAAGAATAAAAACTAAACTTATTATCTTTTTGCTCTGGACTTAAGCCTAGACATTTGCATACATTAAGATGCAAGGGATACTTAGACATGGAGTACAACATGTGTAAGAGTTCATCAGTTGGTGCCATATCTGTACTCGACCACATCTAAAGTTACTCTCAGGACAGCTAGTATTTTAATGCAGGTGACTTCAATACTACTGCTTCTTTGGCATTACTTTACATCTGTGGTTTTGGAAAGGACTCTAAAAAAATGAAGTTGAGAGATAATCTGTCTCCAAATAAAATCTTTATTCTAGTTTTGCAGAACCTTGCTTTTTGAGCTTCATTTAGGTAAAACAGACCAAATACATCTCAGGCTTGGCTTTTTTTTTTTTAATTCCTTCTTATTTGCTGTTGGTTTTGTTTAATTTTTTTTCCAACTACATGCTGCCTAAAACTAGATCTTGCACCTTTTCTTTGCCCCTCGAAAGATCAGTAATTACAAAAGATGTTTGATTGATAGAAGTCTAGGCTTACAGTTTGAGTGCAGGTATAGGGTGAGCAGCTTGTTCTCTCTAACACCTCCAGACAGTGCTTCCAGACAGATCCAGTATCAGGCAGTACAAAATTTGGATCTTTTCTGAAGGGAGCACCACCTGTGGATGGGTACACCCAAACTTTTCCAGCTGTCACTGCTTCCATCAAAGGCAAAGGGCTGCCAGGACCATTATGGCTGGAAACAGGGCTGGGTACAGAACATGAACATACATCGATAAAGACCATGGAATCATTTTGGTTGGAAGATACCTTTAACATCATCAAGACCAACTGTTAACCTAGCACTGCGAA